AGATATTATTATACAAATATTTGCAAATATTAATGTTACATCTCATTCATCAGTCTGGAAATTGCAGTTTGGGTATTTGAATGGGTAAAAAATATCTCATATTTTTTTATGCTTTTTTCTAAAATGGATTATAAAAATATATGCTTTTTCCTCTGAGCAAAAACAGAAAGAGCTTTCTCTGACCTACTGCCAGACAGTGCCTGTGTCTTTTTGTAAAGTATATATTTATTTGTTTTTACTTGTCATTTTTTCAGTTGTCTTTTAAAGTCATAGCTGGAACGTTGTAGCGTCACATGGCATATCTGAACTGAGCTTATGCATTCTTAAAATGTTTGACTATAAAGCAACTTTATTGTGCTTTCAACTGAGTTAAATCACTCTGTGGTATATTGTGTAGTGTTGTGTAGTATTGAGCATATAAGCTTTGGAACCTGGTAATTTTTTTGGTATTGTGGGAAACTATGAATAGAGTGTGAATCATAAGGTCTTTGGTCACAGACAAAATCCCTTATCTTTCCAATGCAGCAGTAGGCCAAATTAACACTTAAGTCAATTCAATTCAGTTTATTTATATAGCGCCAATTCACAACACGTCATCTCAAGGCACCTTACAGTTAACCAGATCATACAGTCAAATTGGATTAAAAGTTTTCTATCTAAGGAAAACCAGTTGATTGCATCGACTCATCAACTCGAATGCAATCCCTCACAATAAGCAAGCTTGTAGCGACAGTGGAGAGGAAAACCTCCCTTTTAACAGGAAGAAACATCCAGTAGAACCAGGCTCAGTGTGAGCGACCGATGAGGCCAACTGGGGTTCAAGAAGACAGAAGCAGACATACAGAAAGAAGCAGACATACAGAAAGAAGCAGACATACAAAAGGCAACTTTAAGAGGCGGCCTGTCCAGGAAACACACAGCCAGGCAGAGGAGCTCCAATTGCTAAGACTGATGCAATTGTGTATCCTCAACTGTTTATCTACTATTGTTCTGCATCAAGCGTGGGCATCCTAATGGATGAGTCCATTTAGTCTGCTCTTATGGCGACTAAATCAAGCATCTTTCTTTCAGTCCCAGTTCTACATGTCTCCTTTGAGTCAGCTTTTAATTGTCTTTTAATACTTATAATTGTATAGAATTTGTTCATATTTTAATAAAAAATTAAAATTGTAGCTTTTTATTTTTTTTCTCTTTTTTTGCTCTGTGAAAAGGTTGGAATGATGGTCTTGTATGTATTTGTATGTCCATGCAATCATTTAAAAAAAAATAATTACTCATAATTACTCACAGCTAACATATGTTTATGATTTTGGTCCCATTACTATCATTTATCACACATGAAATCTTACCTTAACTACTCTTTATCCTCCCTTTTCTTTCGTTGATAGATCCGGGGCCCCTTTATTTCCTTGGCTCAGAGCCAATTTGAGCTGATGCTTAAAGCAGCTCTGAAATTTAACTGGTGCAAACACATCAAGCTTTCTCAAAAAAGGATGAGCTATTGAGTCTTAATCCTTGGCTGAAAAGTAAGGGCCCTTCCAGGTGGTGTATATTATTATCTTTCTTGACAAAATAAGCCTCTTTTATTAGGAAAAGGTTTGCAAGAGAACCTTCACACACTTCACAGTCAGAACAGCTTAAGATCAGAAAGACCCTTGCCAGCTCTGAGCTCTCAGTCTTTCACTTTGTGGTTTCCGTTCATCCTTTGGAACAAAGCCCTCCATCATTGGGCCCCAATGAGACCTCCGTGTGGGGACTACCTCCCTCGTCCATACGGCTCCATCGCAGCTGCCTTTGGAAGTGTTAAATTTCACCACATCTAAGGTGAACTGACATGGCTCTTAAGTTCTGGCCGTTTTACTACTATATCAAACTGTCCGTCACTACTGTGGAATAATAAAATCCAACTGTGTAAACAGAACAAGGAGAACAAAGACCGTCCGTTTCATGGGTTGAATGTAAATACTGTTCGTTTTTTTTCCCCAGAAATCATTAATAGCAAAAAACGTTTCTAAATCATACTGAAAACCAGCCTTAAAAGTTTCAAAATATGGTAGAAATAAGCGTTACATTTACACCTGAATAGGACATTCATTTGCATGATGAACAGAGTATTTTCAAATCTTGAGGTGTCATAATACATCTTAAAATACCCCTTGATAAGTGTGAAATAAAAAAATGATTAATGCTGGGATGTGTTTGGATGGACAAACAAATCCATAATAAACCATATCTAAAAATGTAGTCAAAAAAACTACAAATATCAATGGATTTTATGTGAACTGTAAATAAAAACAGGATGCATGATTGCAAATGCTTTTCTGGCACCATACTTTTTCAAACTCATCAGAGTTTTTGCACCTTTTTAGAATTTTCAAAATGACAAATAGCTGCTTTTTTGTGGTTGTTACCTCTGGGCAGATGTTGCAAAGGGAGGTTTTTATTTTGTCTGGATGACTATGAATACCCATGAAGCGCCCTGAAATCACCAGTTGGTACATAAATAAAATCTCAAAAGGGTTTTCCTTGCCAGAATTAATGGTAGAAGCATTAAAATAAAGAAACTTCTTTTAGTCATCTTAATCATTCATGATATTAGCTGTGATAATAATATAACAATATGATTTTTTGTCTTTTAAGAATTTGAAAATAACTATGTTTGGTGTATGTTCTAGAATATCTTTATAGTTAAACGTGATAAAAACAAACATTTTTTTTTTTCAAATGAAAAGCCAAACCACAGTATGTATTTTAGGTAGATGCAATAAAAAACAAAATAATTTTATAGATTTACTTTTATTTTTCCAAATTTTTTATCATAAAAATAAAATGTTAAAAGCAGCCTAATTGTCACACATTGTTCAAAGTTTAAAATGAAAACTTTGCAAAGAGGAAGTTTTGCATATGACCCACTTTAAAGGGAACCTGACTGTAAACACGTCCGATTCACTATGCTGGCTGTTATCTACTTCTGGAAATAAATGGAGACCTTTCAGTTTAACCTTTCTCATAAGAGTTTCTCCAAGTGTTTGTATGGAGTAGAGATAATTTTTAAATCTTAAGGTGTGCTAATACCTTAGCATTATTACCATATAATCTAGGACAGAATTGTTGGAGAAAGTAGGAACAATAAGATGTCCTTTTAACAGAGCCACCCCTCAGGGTGCAATACAAGTCAAGGCATGTCTTATGTAACGCACAGCTCACTGTTGTTGTGCTCTTCTTTTTGCCTTCACGATCACCATTGTCCCTACCTTCTGCACATGCTGACCTATCTCCCTTCTCTTTCTTGTATTTATTTTTTCCTCCACAGTGAATCTGCCCCAAAGCTGAGCCAGTTTCGGCCCAGCTGAAGTTGAGTGGTGATGAAAGCTGACTCACATTTTCATTAACTCACATGACTGCACTCTGCTCCACAAATAAAACAATCCTATGGATGAAAGACACATGCATCCACAGATGAACAGCCACATCCAAACTAGGCCTCTTTTAGCTTGAAGACACATCAGGAACAATTGCACAAATTAGAGTGTGACAGCTTCTCTATGTATAAAACCCAAAATGTTGCTCTGTCATTCGTTCACAGGGACAGAGACAGGGAGACATGGTCATGCCGTCATAAGAGATAGGAACTGACAGCAGATAACTGCTACCCCTGCTATAAAAAGATCAGCTGACACAGTCTGAAAGAGCCTATAGATAAACATACAGACACTTTGGCCCTCAGTCAGTCTGCTTTTTATCAGCCAACATATGAAAAATTACAACTTAGGTCCAGGAATAAATTGAGAAAGCACCCACTGCTTTGGCCTTCTGTGGCCATCTTCCTCAGGTTGTCACACGACATGCATCACATTTTTTTATGACGTTGGCACTCTTACCAAGAAAAAGCAGAATTTTGTTAAAATAAATAAAAGCTGACAAAACCATACACCCAGTGTAATTCTAGAGATCAATGTATGCTGCCATCTGGGGGTTAATTTTATGAATGAACCTACATATTTAAAGATTCATTCTTCCAATGTTGGTTTCAAAAACTTCAAAAAATTTAAGCAAGAAACATTTAATTAAAATAGACTTTTAAAGTGTCTCCCCCCTAAAGATGGACTAGGCCACTTTTTAAAACAAAGACATCCAGTTAATGACCATATGTATAAAAACATGAGAACAAGTAAACTCAGCATAATGTATTAATACTAAAAGAGTTGGACACATAAAATCCAATTTGAATGAGGGAAGAGCCTCTTGAAAGGGACCTGCAGCAGAACCAGGCACAATATAAGTGACTGAGGGTTACCATTATAAAAACAGAACCTGTTTAAGGTGGTGTAAGTAGTAAAAAAAAAAAAAAACAAAAAAAAAACAGATGAATTAGAAATACAGAGGTAAAGATGTTAGCATTTCTGTTATATTCTAATTTACGCTGGAAGAGACCTGTAAAATTTATTCTGTAAAAAAATAGGTAAAAAAAAGAGAGAAAAGCATTGAGCGGTACTCAGAGGTTATGTTTTCATTACCATTGGTTTGTCCGTTTATAAAAAAGTTCTGAATGGAATTTGCTGAAATTTTCTGAGGTGCGTATTGTGACTGTAATCAAATTTTGGCAAACCTTCTCTGGACCCAGACAATTTTTGAAAGATTGTGTGAATAGAAGTAATAACTTAAGGAAGTCACAATATGTAGGGGGAAATTGGCTATGTGGCGGAGGTCTGTGACTTCGAGTGCTGTTTGAGTTTATTATTGAGGATCTCAAGACCACACACAACTCCAATGGGGAGTCCAGATTCAGAATCACTGTTTTAGGGAATAAAATCAGTGATAAACTGTAGAAAACTCAAACATACAGTATATCCATACCCATCTCAACCTGGAAAATAATAAAAGAAAATTATTTTTTTGTTTGTTCATATAAATACATAGGCTGTTATCTTTAAAAAAAAATAAAACTTATTTTATTCATGCAAAATAATTGTACTTTTTTTTACAGTTCTGAACTGATCCTAAAAAGAAATAAAAAAGGCAGATTTAAAATAAAAACCTACAAACATACATTGAGAGTAAATTGATTTCCATTGAGTTTGTAAACAGTCATTCCAGTGCATTTATATCTGATCAGATCCAGGTTTCTTGTCTCACACCTCCTCTGTCTTGACGGACATCTTTGCCTTCTTCTGACGTTCTGACTTGGATTTCGTTTTCTTTTCCTGTCCATCAAACTCTCTTTTTATTTTTATCTCCTTACACTTTTCTTCATGCTCTTCTTCTTTCTTCGGCTGTTTCAAGCTCATTTCTTTGAGGTTCTGGAATCTCTTGAGGTCAGCGCAGAATAAAACCTAAAACAGGGAGTGGGTGGTAACAGTAGATCCACTGTGAAAGAAACAGAAGCTTGATGGACAATGGCACTTACCGAATGGGCCCAACCTGCATATGGTCCCCACAGCTTTCTGAAAAAATCTCCTGCAGAGAAAAGGTTGATTAAATGTTGTTTTCTTAAAGGATGGGATTTTTGTGCATGTGTGTCTAAAACTAACCAATATCTCTGTGAACTTTTTCAGTAAGAGTCTTTTGTCCATTATTAGCAGTGTATTTATAGTCCCGCTTAGCAATCTGCCAAACATGCGTGTCCACAGGTACAGCCTCGGATTTATCCAGAGACATCAAACAAACACAGTCTGCCACCTAAAACAGAAACTTTTATCACCCAATGTCTTCATATCTTCTCTTCAATGTAATATCAATCAAATGAAAGGGGCAAACATGTTTTCCTTCCATTATACCTTGGTGCCAACACCAGGGAGGGTCCGAAGAGCTTCACGGGCCTCCGGATACGGAACATTCCGTAAACTATCAAGCCACTGGAGTCCGTTGGTGTCCAGGATCTGCTTTGCGCTCTGCTGAAGGAACCGAGCCCTGTAACCGAAGCCAAGATCCCTGAGACGTTCTTCTACACGGCTCTCTGGACAACAGAAGAACAACATACATACAATAAGATAACCTTCTCCCTATAACCCTTTAGATGGCTGCTGAAAATAATGTGTTTAGTGGGGTGGAGAAAAGTCGTGCCATGAATTTAAAATATGCGTGCTATTTTTATTACAGTTTCATGGACCTGCAAGAGTAGAAAGTGTAGGAAAGTCATGGTAGAAGGTTTGATCCAGCTGGCAGAGAGGTGCACCCAGAGCCTGACACAATCTCTCCACCATGCCCTGAATACGAGAGATGTGGTTATTGGAGGTGCAAATGAAAGAAAAGAGGCATTCTGTGGGATCCTGACGCAGCATTCGCACACCTGCAAAAAGATCAAGAAATGCATGTTTAGTCTTGATTTATTGTTAAAGAAGTAATTTGCATAAAACAAACACTCTGACCTGTAAATATGTCAGATATCTCCTTAAAGTGGCAGTCTGCTGCACCCCACTCCCTGTATAGATCCCCCAGCTTCACATGCAGCTGGAAGTAGTCTCTCAGCATCTCTGCTTCCACCTCAGCATCCTGTGTGGAGGTGGCAGACTGTGTCTCCTCCTTATCACTCCTTGGAGTGTCTTTGTTTTTCCCACCAGCTGCATCCTGGTTTTTATACAAATAGTACCAAAGAGTGTCTTCAGTCTGGGTGAGGGTCCACACACGCCCCCCTATCACTCCAGTCCAATGCCCCTCAGACGTTTCCCTCCAGCTATAAATCAATGAGATGAGGCTTAAAATCAAAGCATAGATTAAAACCAGAAGTTGCGTTTCATTATGAGTCAACTGTAAACCCTCACCGGAAAGTCTGTCCACAAGCGAGGGTGAGATCCAAACGCAGCTCTGACTTTGCGCACTGCAAAGATCTCCACATTTTGGCCCCCGAAGAGAAAACTGCATGTCTGGTCATCCTTATTTGAGCTAAATAATAATAATAATAATAATAATAATTGGGGTACTTATACACGATCTGTGCTGAACTATTAATCTAACAGCTTACAACAGACAGAAAAACGCATTTACGCGTAACGAAAGAATGGATCTGCTCCTTAACCGTCATCCGGTGAAGGTCCTGGCTAAAGTGCTCAAAGTTTGACAGGGTCTGTCTGCATACACTGTCTCCAAGACAAGCCCTGAATACTGAATAATAATGAATCTGCAGGTTTCTGATTGATTCCAACCCCCTCTGGAGTGATATCAGATTGCAGATCACTCAAGGAATCTCTTCTTAAGAATGGAATCGGTGACGATGCTCCTTAGGAAAACTTGTTTATTTGAGTATCTTTAAGGAGCTTTTTAACCAGCATTGGCAAAATGAATAGGAGTCTAAAGGGAAGACATTATTTTAGCTTAGCCTTCGATAAAAAATGGCAGATTTTTTATAACATCCAGTAGAAATGATCAATTTAAATAAAGATTTAGAAAGGGGCATTTAAATGGTTGCATATACAGAAATGATAAGTAGATCTCAGGTGGACGGCGCCAGTGTGGGCAGTTGGAATTTGTGGCTCATTTTTTGATGTTTTGTCCTTCATATTCTTAGGAAAAACTGAATTTGTTTAAAGATTTATCGGATATAGTTGTTTTATGGTTTCTATTTAAAAAATATATTCCGATAATTGTAACTTGTGGTCAGTACATAAAGCTGTGTTGAACTACTTCAATGTTTTTTTACCCCAAAAAATTAAGGGGAATTAATTTAATGTATTAAGAATATTAAGGAACTTTTCAACTATGCCAGCATACAGCCTACTAGAAATAAATGGAAGAAAAAGAGAAAAGGTTGGTGTCAACCTATATGTCTAAAGAGATCACACATGATTGGGATAAGAACAAATGGTTTAATGTTTAACAACTCAATCATATCTCTAGAGATCATTGTTGCAGTATCTGTCACCTAGATATTTGCAGCAGGTCCAGGAAGTCCTGGAAATTGTTAATCATTAATTAGGTTTGTTTATCCTTTAACATTGCATTGAGGCTTTGAAATCATTTCCAAACCGATTTTGCCCTGTTGTAGAAAGTAATATCCTGCTGTATCCCTGTGCACAGTGAACAATATTACTCTTTGTATTCTGATGCCATTGTATTAGAATTAGTATTAGAATTTTCAAATATCTGATTTTCTGCTGCTTTTCTGATGCACACATTGTTTATCTTTTGACCATCCAGGCAAGTCTTTACTCCTCGCACTGATTTTAACATCCAAGGTTTGGATGCCAAAACTAGAAAA